CGTTTAATGCCACCCAAGTTTGTTAAAATAAAAGTGACTCTAGTACACTCGACCCATTTATATTTAGAGCCAGATGTTGTTTTCTCAAGATTAAATTGTGGATTCCATCTTCAGAAAGTCAGATGAACTGTGCCGATTTGAATTACTTGTGAAAAGTAAGGCACTTAAACACAGAATTGTTTCTGTTTGTTAGCAAATTACAGAGAGTGAAGGGCGCATCAGGGTGGAGGCCAGGAAAGACCTGAGCTGCTTCGTCATTGAGGGCGCAGAGAGGGAAGATGAGGGCAACTACACCATCTGTGTGACCAACCCCGCTGGAGAGGACAAGGCTATGATATTTGTGAAGATTGTGGGTAAGTGATTTTGTTTACAACCATAGTAACGCATTTGCAGAAATGTGGTTTACAATTTACAAGTTTTCAAAGTTTTAATCTGTGTTTTAAGCTTTTCTGGTTTGCGTTAAAACTACAGTAACTGTGATCTTATTTAAGATGTGCCCGACCCCCCTGAGAATGTCAGATGCACATCAGTGGGAGAGGACTGCGGTACCATCCTTTGGGATACTCCCATATTTGATGGCGGTGCACCACTCAAAGGTAAAGGATGGATTTTGATATATTTAATTATATTAAATGGCCTGGGCGTACAGAATGTATTTTCACTGCTTTTACTTGTTTTAAATAATTATTCTGCCCATTATGAATGTTTCTCTTTTTTTTCCTCCATCAGGTTATCTCATGGAGAGGAAGAAGAAAGGTTCCTCCAGATGGACAAAGCTTAACTTTGATGTATATGAACCAACTACATATGAGGCTAAGAGGATGATTGAAGGTGTTTACTATGAGATGAGGGTGTTTGCTATAAACAGCATTGGCTTATCTCAGCCAAGTCTCACCTCCAAACCCTTCATGCCCATTGGTACGTAACCCTAACCTATTTGCACTCAATCTTCCTCAGCTACTTCCCTTTGTGCATCCTCAACCTTTAGTCAACTCAGGGACCCTCCTAATCTTCTTTCTTTCACCTTTAGCCGCAACTAGCGAGCCTATTCGTCTGTCGGTGCACGATGTGACGGACAACACATGTACCCTGAAGTGGCTCGCCCCAGAGAAGATTGGAGCTGGAGGCCTGGATGGCTATGTAATTGAATACTGCAAGGAAGGAGGTGATGACACCAACCATACTGCTTACAACAAAATGACAATAACTGGACAATTTAACAACATTCTCAAATTCAGTCATAACTTATGGACATATTTGACAGCTCAGGTCAGTTTTAAAAATGGCACAGTACACAGTCATAATAAGGGAATGAATGTCTATAATAATCAATGAAATGTTAAATCTTTAAACCTACATAAAATAGTCTATTAAACATAACAAGTCACCAGAATTGAATCCCACTCACATTGTGATTTACTTCATGTAATTCTCTTTTATTTCAGATACTGAGTGGGTGGTGGCAAACCAGGAACTCTGTGAGAGGCAAGGATTTGTGGTGCGTGGCCTCCCCGTGGGAGAGAAGATCAACTTTAGAGTGGTGGCAGTAAACATTGCTGGCCGCAGTCCTCCAGCTTCACTGGGACAGCCCGTCACCATCCGAGAGATCATGGGTGAGTCAGGACAGGTTGTGAACAAACAAATCTACTTGTAGACCTTTTTTATCGATTAAATCTCATATTCAGTTAAAGTATTTGTTGGCCTTGTTATGGTATTTAAAGACACATGCTTAGTACTATCATAATATCATAACATGTTTTTTAATCAAATGTATTTTTCTACTTTAGAGTATCCTAAGATTCGCCTCCCCCGCGATCTGAGAACAAGATTCATCAGGAAAGTTGGAGAAAAGATCAACCTGACCATCCCCTTCCAGGTTAGAAACATATACGAGCTTTTAGATTTAGATACGTTGTGCAAAAAGCTGTATGAAGATAAAGACCAGTGGTAAAATTGTGTGAACTAAAACTATTTGGAGAAAAAAATGGGCGTTATACAAGTAATGCTTGACAGAGGTTGGAAGTATTTTAAATAATATAATAAAAGCATTTTGTGGCTCAAGAGGGAGCTGAAAATGTATCTCTGGTTTTTCTGCATTTTTTAACTAGCAATGTTTCCTGCCATCATCAATCATTTTCATCACCGATGAGTTATGAGTAAATCCTCTTCCTGAGCAGTGGGTCGTTTGTGTGTCTAATAGGGTAAGCCTCGCCCTGTCGCAACCTGGTTCAAGGATGGTCAGCCCATTGACCCCACTATGGTCAGCATCCGTAACTCAAACGTGGACAGCATCCTCTTCATCCGTTCAGCAGAGAGAGAGCACACTGGGAAATATGAGCTGGTGCTAAAGATCGAGAACATGGAGGACAGAGCTGCCATCCAGATCCAGATTGTTGGTAAGGTTGTCTGGTGTTGTCTGGGCTACTTGTTAAATGTTGTTTGAAGAAAAACACACATTGGATTATCTCAAATTTGTTAAAACTAAAATTGCATTTCAAATCTGACATTTATTCCTTTAAGATAAACCTGGACCTCCTCAGAAACTTCATGTGACAGAAGTGTGGGGCTTCAATGCAGCAACGGAGTGGGAGCCCCCAAAGGACGATGGCAACTGTGAGATTACTGGATACACCATCCAAAAGGCAGACCTGAAGACTAAGGTGTGAGAGGAAACGGGGGTAGCGTTTAAAACCTACAGTCTCTATGGCTGCTTGGCATATTCTTTATTTTCACACTTTAGTCAAAAACATTGTTTCTTCACTGTTTAATTCTGAGAGTTTGGGCTTTTGTTCTCATGACATAACCTCTTTCAGACTACTGGAAAGAAAACATACAAAATACAAAATTAGGTTTTATTTTACAACAATTTGTATCAGTTAATTTCTCCTAAATTCAGCAAAAGTTACAATTTGTTTGTAATAATGTAGTTTTTACTTATTCTTAATGGAGGATTTGAATCAATTGAACTTCTTATCATCACAAATATGCAAAGCACAGAACACAGTGAAATGTAGACTCAATTAAACCCATGATAGTATCAAGATCCCTGGGCAGCTACTATACAGCATCCATTGAGTTTCCAAATGATAATTGTTTTAGTTACATTTTTGTTACCTGTAATGTCTTTCAAAATACACATCTTTCTATCCTGTTGTGCAAAATAATAATATTTTTCTTATAATGTAATCCAGAAATCTCCACTACTTGAATATACCATACTTTACAAATGTATCTATATTCTGAGGGTTTTAAAGGGGTTTGTTCATATATCATTCCTAGCCTAAGTTATATCATGTAATTCCTAAGATATACAAAATATAATTATTTATGGATTTTCACAGTATCTTTAATGGACTGAGCAAAAGAGAGATTTCAATTAATCAACCAAATAAAATAAGAATTGTCCACCTTGCATTATCCAATGTTCGGGAAAGGTATGCAAATGATCACATACATATTAAGATGCTGCATATTTAAACATCACATTTTAGAAAAACTGCAATAACTAAAATAGTGCCTTCCCTAAATGTAACTATAACATATTTCTTTCTCCAGGAATGGTTCACTGTTTATGAGCACAACAGACGGACAAACTGCACAGCGACAGATCTGATCATGGGCAACGAGTACATGTTCCGCGTGTACAGTGAAAACCTCTGCGGCCGGAGCGACGATCCGTGCTTCTGCAAGAACACGGCTGTCATTGCAAAGACAGGTGTGTTCCCGTACAGTATTTACAGTACCATGTGTCTGTTCCTAGTGTGGATTCCATTTTACACCCAGTGGAGTCAAGGAATTTGGACCACATTTCTGATTTATGGGGTTTAAATAAGTTGTCTCTCCTTCCCCCAAAGACCTGGAGATCAAGAGAGCACCCTACACGAAGAAAGACAAGTCCTGTGCGCCCAAGTTTACTCAGCCCCTTGTCGACAGATCTGTAGTGGCCGGTTACAGCACCACCATCAGCTGCTCTGTCAAAGGGTACCCCAAGGTAAATATGCATGTTAAAAAAGACTGTGGAGCGTGAAAAGATGAAGGAGGACGGTGCCTGTTTTCATTCAAATAACGCTCGGAATTTTGCTGTAAGTAAGACTTGTATGCATATCTACCAACGATGTTAGATTGAAAGCAGAGTAGGTTGGGCCCAAATGCAGGAAGTACAAGGTTTGAACAGAATGATAGCCTTAATTGCAGGTATTCAGGCTGAGCAGGGCAAAGCTTAACAAAAGTAACAAATCTCTCCAACAAAAAAAACTGAACAAAACTCTCCATTGGACATGAACAAGAATCTGACAACTACTTACAAAAAAACACAACTTAAGTTCATGCAAGACACAGCTGGGGTGGGAAGGCAAATCACAAAGGCACCAGGTGAACAGGATCAGGTAATCAAACAGAAGGGAAAACATAGGAAAAAACAGACACAGCGGGGCGAACACTATTCAGAAAATAACAGGAAACAAGACAGATTGTGACAAACAATAGCCTTGTATTGTAAGAATAAGATGTATTGCAACATATTTATCATGTGACTTTTTCTCAGCCTAAGATTGTCTGGATGAAAACAAGATGATCCTCGGTGAGAATCCCAAGTTCCTCATGCGAAACTACCAGGGAGTGTTGACCCTCAACATTCGCAAGCCAGGCACTTTTGACTCAGGAAAATACTCCTGCATTGCTGTCAATGATCTGGGCAAGGAGAGGTGGAGTGCAAGCTGAGCATCAGACGTAAGAACAGTGGGCATGAGAGGGATGATGGGGAGGGGGGGGGGGGGGGGGGGGGGGGGGTTTCTTTTGTTGTTGTTTACTGATAATTATTTGTTAGTTAGTTTTGATTATGTAATCACACACTCAAATCTGAAGGCAGTCTATTTTTACAACTGCAGCAGAAGTAAATAGTTTGAACATGGAAATGAAACACAATACAATTTGGGCGTATTTCAAAACATCTCACTCATCATTTGTCCTGTCATTCCACAGTTCCCACAGACCCCGACAAGGCGCAGGAGGAGTGAGAAACCGATCAGCAAAGAATGTGAAATGATATGAACCAAAATGTGGATGTCAGTGTGTGAAATACACACTGTCACAGAGTGAATCTAATAAAATCTACTGATGTGTGCTATAAATAATGTTTATTTTATATAGGCTTTTTTCTCCTTTTTTTCATGTTGTTCTTTCACACAAACAACATTATACAAGAATAAGTTAAAGGGTCACGAGCCCCTGCACAGGATCAGAAACTAACAAGGCACATTATTGTTAGAGAGGCACCTTCGTATTTTGGGATAAGTGTGACAGTCTTCTGCACTACACCCCTGGAGTATTGAGGTCTCCTCCTGCGGACTGCCACCACTATGCTGAACAACAGCGCCACTGCCAGGAGACCCACGGCCACTGCAAGAGCTGTTATGACACCTGTGGGAGAAACGATCTTGTTAGGTGAACGTGAAAACAATTTGGAAGATTTCCAGAATCCTTGATATTTTTAAACCAGACAGTCTGTGCTCACAATCCCCCACACTGGTCCCTTAAGTGAATACAAGAATAAACATAATGCAGCGAAGCGTTAACGGTGGCAAAATATGTGTTGAAACAGAAGTCAGTGCGAGCATGAGAATCATAATCTAACACATAAATCCTTTATTCGTCCCACAGAGGGAACATTTACATTCTTACAGCCCAATGAAAATGGAGACAAGATGCTAATGAGTACACTAACATAATAAATTAAAAGGCAAAGCACACAATATTTACTCAAAATGTAGGCTATATAGAAATATCAGAGTAGCAGCCAGTTATAAGATTATAAATGTATACATTACACATACTTATTTCACAACAGGCGTGTTTTAGTCTGAATGTGTGAATAGCAGTAGCAGCCTAACATTAATTGTAAAAAAATAAAAACAACTTCTTTACCTGTGCTTGACCATTTTGTCCGAAACCCACACTCAGCGTCCCAGTTCTCTGACACCACGTCCCGGATCACCTCAGTGAACATGGACAGAGGGCAGGGGTTCAGCCCGTTGCATCCTGGGACAGGGTTGGGGAAGGGGTCGCGCCACGAGTCATTCCGGTAATACAGCTCCAGAGAATAAGAACTGGGGAATTTTAGAATTAACACAATGAGATTACACACACTTGTGCTAGTTGTTTGGTATCACTCATTAAATGGTAAATTGATAGGTAATGGGTGTTTTGTTGTAACAAACAATCAAATGACAATTAGTAATGTATGATTTCCCAGTTTGCACAATTAACATTATATAAATAAATAGACAAGATATGTATGCGCGGGCTTTGTAAACCATCTTTAAATGGTATATAATCTTGTGTGTGAAACAGTAAAAACAAAGGGAGCATAAATTATAGCCCTAATATAAAAAAAAATTAGCATTATTAATCATAATTGTACTGTTTGTTACAGTAAAACGATTTACTATCTACAATACACTAACTGCAATTTGAAACTTTTTATGTCAACATGGCGAAGGCAAATAGCAGCTAACTGTGTCGTGCTAGCTAACAGCGAAAGCATTGCTAACATTCACATTAGTGTTGACTGAGAGGAAACCGGGGCACGTGGTTATGTTTCTGCCACAACATCATGGGTCAGGACGCCTTATCAGAGGTTACTGCCATATGAGCACCGTGCAGAGTTACATTATTAGGTATAACAAAAAGGATTCACAGGTGCTAACAAGTACTTGCAGCCAGACCAGCGCTAAATGTAGCCCACAGAGAAGCTCAGATTACAACACACACAGTTATTTGCTTTGATGCTCCGAATGCCGTTTAAACTTGTAATGATGGTTATTAGCTGTAAAGTGTTGCGTAAATGTTTTTTTGATCATGTTAAATTGCTTACTGCAGTCCTGGGTCGATATTAAAACGTTACAAGAGAATTGTCTTATATGGTTTGGTGCTGCTAAACAGTGGGATGCGAAATCTGGTGTTTTTGACCATCTGACCTAAAAAGTGTGATTAATTATGCAAAGAGCAGGCGGGACGTCATTACCCATCATACTCCTGGTAGAACTCAAAGAGTTGACAGGCGGCATAAGGAGGAAGGAGGCGTTGTACACGCCTAAAGCCGCCTGCAGCATGATGAGTGTAGAGTCATGCTGGAATGACAAACATCAAGGCGGTGAGAAGATGTGAAACAGCAGTTTACACGAGACATTCAAAATGTGTGTGTATGTGTGTGTGCCCAAACGTTGAACTTACAGCTGAGTACATAATGAATTTGAGAGGACTCCCTTGCTCTACAGCCCTGGAGAAATTCCTCAGGATGGCATTCAGCAGCACCCCTGATAAATAAGCACATCAGTGTCAACAGTGCAAATGAAATTTTCCCAGACAGCAGCGCAATCGTTTTGACCTAACAGAGCATCTTGTCTTAGCGCTGTAATCATATCTCTGCCATAAGCTCATATGTGCTTTTAGGAAGCCCGGCCCACCACTTTACACTGTCTGAGGCATAAACAAGGCCTCTTGCCCACTGCACATTGTTGGATGCACTACTGTAATTGTTTCTCTCTCTCTCCGAAAAGTGCTTTTAATTAATTATATCTTGTGTTAATCCTCACCTCCCCGAGAGCCTGGCCTTTTCTTTCCTCTTGTGACTGAGGATGCTGTACATGACCTCAAATGATGCAATTCTCCTCAGGGTGTCCAGAACATCTTGGGTGGCCCAGCGTGGGAGAGTCAAGTTATGGATTCTCTGTGCAAGAAAATAGCATTCATTACACTGCATCGCGCTAATAATCACATTACACAACGCACGAATCGCAACAAAGGGAGTTTTAAATGGCTGTGTTTCATCGTTCATATTATTCCAGCTATTTTTAGCACCAGTCTGAAGATAACAGATGCTCATTTTGCAAGTGTGAATGAGCTTATTCAACCTGGCCTAGAATCCACCCATCTCCTAATGCTTTAATTATGATTTCAATATGTTCTCCTATTCATGTCTTAGTGTATGTATATAAATTATTTCCCCATGCTCCAGCCCCCTCCTCAACACTCTGCAGGCGTGTTGAAGAAAACAGATCGCTTCTCTTCTCCCCCTTTCTGTTTCCATCTCACTGCTCTGCAGATGGTGTTGTATCAGTAATTGAAGCATTTGTAAACTGCAGAATACAGCTAGATCAATTGTGTTCATGTGTGTGACACATCAAGTATACCTGACAGGTTAGAGTGTCGTGGACCCTCCACATTTTTTTCCCAACCAGTTTGGAGACGGGGTAGCCAGTGTGGTTGGAAAGTCCTTCAACAAAGAACTGCAACGTGCAGAAGAGAGTTACAACATTACATTTAACCAGTGGTGGAAGACATTCTGATCATACAATATAGTTATTAGAAATATAATGAAATTCCAAAGAAAATGGCCCAAAGTAAATATTTTAAGATGTGGCATTGTCTTGTATGTCCATTGGGATCATTCTTGTTATCGAAATGTCTCGGGAACACCTATAGGGAATCTTTTGGAATCTGGAACAAACGTCCACTTGGCTTCAACAATGAACTGATTATCATTTGGTGGTCAAAGGTCAAAGTCACCTCACAAAGCACCTTTATTTCCATAATTCAAGAATCAATAATGACAATTTTCTGACAAATTTGGACGTTAAGTTCTGCTTTTCTGTCATATGTTTCATAGATTTACCCCATTAAGTAACTTAAATGAAAGTTGGCCCTTAACTATTAATTTATTTTATTATTTTAACATTTCCATCTGATTTACTTCCGTGAAGGCAACATTAATATTTCCCACTTAAATGTGGGGTATTAGTACCATAAAATAAAACTCAAGTTGAGTGTAAGCATCTAAACTCAGTTATTGTAATCACAGCATTCAACTCATTCTTTATATAATGTCAAAGAATATAACACATATGTTTGTATATATGGGTAATATGTTTTGGATTTTGTAGATGCACTGATAAACTAATATTGCAGACATTAGTTGATGAATTGGATTGGTTATTATTTCAGTGATGGTTGTAAATGCAGCCTTTGGTCAGACGGTGCAGTGAAAAATGGCACCATTTTGGTTCATGCATCAAGCTTGCAGGTTATGTGCCTCCAGCAGAGGGTGTAACAATTCAACGCAGGAGGCCCCTTCCTGATCTCAAACAGCACCTTAACAGGCAGCACATGGGACTCTGTTTAATTAAAACCATTTCATTGTAATTCTTAATCTAATTCAATCCAACCGTTAATTAGCGTCTCTGAGAATGTGAGAGAAATTGCACGGGAGTCACCGTGCCTGAGAAAATCATCATGTCTACAGCATAACTAAACATCCACTAGAGGTGCGGGTAGCATTGGCACCAGCTACTGTGAAGTATGTATATCACTTTTTTATACGAATGTGCATTTCACAGTGTTTGTTAATTTTCAGATCAAGGCAGAAAGCAGAAAAGAAGCAGCTGATGTGAGGAAAAGTATTATTCACAGCAGTTCTGGTTATATAATTCTGATGATGTAAAAACAACAGGGAAACAAACACGTTTTTTCCGTGGTTAACAGGCACATGACTCATAGCAAAGTGATGTTTAACACAAAATGAGCTGTGAGCACAGCGTCATTGAACAGATTACATTGCAGTGTTTTTCTAAGTCTGTCTCTTCTGTGGTTTGTCTCACCTGGTGAGCCTTGAGGAACCTCTGGTAATGCTCACTCTCAAAAGTCTCCGTCATCAGCGCTCTAAACCTAGGACAGTCTTTGCCCGGAGACCTCAGCAGCTTGAGAAATCGAAAACAACAGCACAACATCAGTGGAAATAATGCACGTTTACTGCAGGTATCGCTAGTCTTCTGGGCACAATTATATGTGCATTTCTCACTGTAAAACAATAGGGAATTTCAGCGCTGCAGGTTCTGAGCTGATGTGAACACAGAGAGCAACACAGAGCTGCAGAGAGAGAGACTCAAATTAACTTGTACAAGTTTCTATTCGGGTGTGTATGGCTGCCGTGTGAAAGGAAATATTTATGTGGCTCAGCAGCCTACCTTGTCCTGTGCCCTGGGGGTGGTGTGCACTGGAATAGGACGCCACAGTAACTGGGGCATGATGGGAGCCGGGCGTCTGGTCGGGGGGAACATCCCGGCGAGGCAGGCCTGGGCGCTCATCAGAGTGCGGTCGTAGTCAGTGCTCCTCACGTATAACTGTGGCAAACATGAAGGGAACATGATATTAAAATGCATCCATATGGTAGTACTAGACATGAGACTGATTCCTATAGTCATGCTTACTTTTTATAGAGTGGGAATGCACTTGGAAACTAAAAAGGATTACATCTGTAAAGTGAATACTTCGCTTTTTAGTCACGTATAGATGCAAAAATATATGCACCCCAGCAAAGCAGCAGTGTATCATGATTGAGCTGCACTCCTCCCAAGTCAACTGAGGTATTCCCTTATCATGAAGAGCAGGGGAGTCAGAAGAGATCTAAATGTATGAGAGAGAGATAGGGAGAAAAATATCTGTCTCACTGTGATCTCTTCTGACATCAGCCTTCACTCGTCTATATCTCTCTGTCACGCCGTGTCAGGTTTTTGCTCACAATAAATCACGCTGATAAGGTTGGATGTTCCTGTGATGCCCAGGATGGCTTTTTTTTCTGCCTCTTTGTCAAATTAAACAGACATGGCAGCGCGTGGAAAGGTACGGTACAAGTTGACAGAGACTTGGGCGACAAATGGCCAATGACAGGTACTGAGAAGAGATGGTATTTGTGTGGTAATAACGTGTTATTTAGGAGAAGGAGAAGATAGCTAGGAGCAATGCTGGGAGAGAGAAAGAGAGGAGGGGTAGAGAAATCAAGGGGAAAAGGGGAGACAGTGAGTGTGAAAAAGGAAAACAAAGCAGAAATCAGACCTTTATAATGACAGTGTGCTGAGCATGCAGACCAACATGCATGCTGCCAACTGCACATGGAGCCCAGGGGCCAAATTACCCACCATGTTACAGCATATTACAAGGCCACGGCAGTGATATCACCAGTAGGAGCCATGCTAATTAGCTTGGTGTATGTGTAACAGCTCATAAAGACAGTGGCTTAACAACATGATTTCACATGTTGGGCCAAGGGCACCCTTGACAACAGCATAAGGTGACACTGAAGCACACAGGCTCACAGGGGACATCAGGGGAAAAAAGGAACTCACAGACATACACCATACTGTTTACACATACACATACCTCTTTGTTATTGTAGTCCTCACTGAGGAAGTTGCTGTAACGCCTCCTTAGAAACCTGCCCAGCTCAAACTGTTGCTGCATGCCCACCTGAAAGGAACTTGGCAGCGCGGTTAATCTTTGTCGAATCTGACCTTTTTGCTGTATAGATTTGGCAGATTTAAGGTCAGATTCAACTTATTTACATATATTAACACATTTCACCCATTCTACATGGCCTTCTATAGCCAGAAATGATACGTCTATTCACTGTAAACCAGCTTATTGTCTTAGAGGGAAATGATATCACAGTCGGATGGAATTCAATTAAAAGACTGCACGCTTTATTTCAAGGCTTAAATTCAGCAGAAACTGATCTACGATGTGCCGTCATAAATGTCACATACTGTTATTTTTTATACCACATCTAAAGCTACATTAATGCAGCTTTGGCTTTGTACTGTACGTGAATTTGTTGTCAAATACGGTGGTATAGAGGTACAAAACTAGCCTGGTCTACAATGATTTTATATACACATTTGCATTATTAATTACTTTTACAGGGAAGATTTCAAATATATTTATTTTGAACCAGAGCAAACATTAAAACTAACTTTCCTTCATCATTAAAACTTTTTAGCATTTTGTTTTCTGTTGTTTATAGGTTTTTGTTTTTTGTTTCTGTAATGTTGAGTTTGTCACTTCAGGGCCACCGTACTTAAGACACCCATGAAACGTAAGGAAATGTATAGATTTTAGTCACTTTATCCTCACCTAAAAGCTCTTTATTCATGTTTGTTTTGCTTGCTAAATTCTGCTTGAAAATTATAATGATGACACACACAGACACACACATCACTAACACACGCAGAGTACCTCACAGTCAGCTGTC